ACAGAGAAACACAACACACCATGTACTGTGGTGTGTGTGTGTTTAAGCAAAGGTGCAGGGGAGATATCATTGAGGGGTGTGTGAGTGTGTGTGTGTGTGTGTGTGTGTGTGTGTGTGTGTGTGTGGTGGTGTGTGTGTGCGTTTGCGATGTGTTGTGTGTGTGTGTGTGTGTGTGTGTGTGTGTGTGCGTGTGTGTGTGTGTGTGGGTGTGTGTGTGTGTGTGTGTGTGTGTGTGTGTGAAGAGGAGTGTTTGAAAGAGGAGAACAAATAGGAGAGAAGATGAAATAATCACACAGAGAGGGAAGGGTTTCCTGTCCGTGCTATAATGGAGTCCCTCAGTCCAACTCTATTTGCATTCAACACAAATTAAATGCTGAACAAGTCTTTGTGCAAACGTGTAATATCACTCAGACCGATGTGGTTGCCTGGTGTTTCCAGTTGTTGGAACTGTGTGGAGCTGCTGGTTTTTGGTCTGCGAGGGATAAAGATATTAAAGGAGATATATAATAATTCAAAGTAATGTTACCTCCACAAAGGAGGTGATGTTTACAGGTTGGTTTGTCTGAATGTTAGCTCCGTTGAGGAAAAAAGTAACATTTTCAAATTGTAAAAGGGCGTAGCACGGGAAGAAGCATTTACATTTGGTTTGAATATACACATTATTTTCCATTTTTGTTTACATTGCAAGAAAGGGCTTTCATTATTCTCTGTACTAAATCCATCACATCGATAGTTCAACCTACAAAAGGTCCACAGATGGTTGGCTGGCTGATTTCTTTTTTAGTTTACTATGTGCTGCTTGGATTAGTTTCCATTAGTATTGTTTATTTTCAATAGCACACAAAAAGAACATTCAGAAACGACAATACAAATAATACCAGAATATGAACAGAATCATGTCAGAAAGTGCAGACACACTGTAAAAGATGCAGCTCCAAAAACAAGTCAATATATAATAAAAACAAGGTGTTTTCTCTTTTAATAAGTGAACAAACCTGCCAATAGAACAAGAACAAAATGGCTTGGTGAGATTTCTTGAAGTAAAGATGGGATGATTAGATAAATGACATCTTGTGTTTAGCTGGGGAAACTTATTTTGAACTATATTTGACCAGAATCAGGGAATCTGTAATAAAGAAAGCCAGAAATGCTTAGATTCTGTTTCCTGATGTTAGTTGGAGATGTTCCTCTAAAATAAGATGTTTTTAAGAGACTTTGACTTAAAAAGATGCTTAAGATGCCTTGTCTAAAAACAAGACTTCAGTTATTAAGTCTTATATCAAGTGTAACAACATATTCTGATAGAAATTAGACAAATATACTTGGCAAGATTGTACATGTTAGCAGTGCACACTTTAACTCAGGCGTTCAGAGAGAGACGTGATAACATGTACGATGAGATGCATCTTGATCTGATTCTGAATGACTTGTTTTGATGCAGATTGTCCCCCGGTCCTGTCTCTGACCCGGCACCATGAGTCCTGAGCTGCTGCTCCTCCTGCTGGTGGCTGCAGGGAGCGCAGGTAAACACAGGGACTCAGTGCATTCACTCAATGCTATACTTCACTGCTAAACTACTCAAAAGTAGAACAAATAACCTGCAGACATCAACTAGTAATTAACATGCATATTAGCAGTATATTGGCTCTTTATTAGCCCTTAGATGCACGAGAGACTGGACCCTACACTCTTCCATAAGTGGGTCAAAAAGGACCCGTATTAGAATAATATGTGTTTGTATGTCATTTTTGTCATTTTGGTTAAGAAAGATCACTTGTATAATATTTAGTATTATATTTTGGTTCACACTAGAAGTATTTTATATTTAATTTTTCACTATTTATAATTTTAGAATTTTTTTTTACATATTGATGCAAAGATCTCCGCTATTCTGAGACCCTCACAGTATTCCAGTCCCTTTTCAAAACTCATCTCTTCTCCTCTTGTCTACTCATAGCCCACCCCCCATCAATCCATGCCGGTTGATCAAGTTTGATAGTCCTATACCCCCCACCCTAACCTTCCCTTATATTGTAAAGTGATTTTGAGTCCTTGAAAAGCCCTATAAAAATATAATGTATTATTATTATGATTATACTGACAGGTTTCAGATCTTGCTGTGTAAAATAATCTTCCTGAGAGGTGTCACTTGTGATGTCGTCTGTGTGGTCTACAGTGAATGTATTCCTGACAGCAACAGGTGATAAGAATCAAAGGTTCCCATAGGATCCCATAGGAAATGCATGCGGGTCATTTTTGACCCACTTATGGAAGCTTGGGGTAGAAATACGAAAACTACAATTTCTTAAAATGTCAATTT